AAATGCGTACATTAACAGGTTTATGATATCACTGCCCCGTCTAAGACACGATCTGACTTTAATTCAGTGTTTCCCCTACCATTGTCTTGGCGGGGCGCTGCGCCCTGCCAACGGAGCCCCGCGCCCTGCCTGAAATTCAAGGTGTTTTTTTTTTATTTTATTTACACACGCGAATGCACACACTCACAATCAGAGACAAGAGCAGAGGAAAGGAGGAGAACAACAGCTCTGCTGTCTGCCCATTTGTGTCCCCCACCCCCGTTTCAAATTCGTTTATTATTATTTTTTAACCGCAAGCCGTTATCGTCACGGGAGAAGGACACACACAGCCTGCCCAGGTGGACGCGCGCGAACGCGACAACGAACGTAGCGTGCGTATTCTAAAAATAGCTCACAGATGGTGAGCAGGTACCGCGGTTTTGAACTACAGTATTGAATTTGACAGAAAACAACAATGAAACGCCAGCAGAAGAATAGTCTAATGAGTTGGGTGAAAAAAAAGACAGGAGATGTGAGTTGGTTTATTCAGTAAATTAGCTCAGGATAATTGGATGTTCTGTCTACACCTGTTGATGTGAGGCTAATGCAGGATTTGCTCCCCTTGATGCTACCGGCATTTAGCGGCAGTGACTCAACAAATTGCCACTTAAAATGTATCGTCAGTAATGTATGACAAGCAGACTGCTTGTTTAATGTTAGACTCACACCAATAGCTCAATATGATCATAACACGATTGCTTTCATATCAGAGATCAGATGAGGTGGAGCTGCCTCCAGCAATAGAGGATGAGGCAGAGAGAAGCAGCAGCAGCAGCATAGGGTTGCAGCAGGTATGTTATATGCTGTAGTCAGGTGATTTAAATGTATCAATGAAAGGAAGAAGTGTAGGCTACATGATAAGAAGGGAATACAGTTTGAATTAAAGTAATAAAGTATTACTTTTTAATGTACAAATACTTTGTTACTGTACGATATCAATAACAATAATCCACAGCTCCTCTCTGCTCCAGAGGATAAAAAAAATCTGGGTGCCCCGAAAAAAAATGTTCGGGGTACCCCAGCAGCACACTGAACGCCCATCTAACGTTTTGAAAACCTCTGCTCTAGATGACACCACACCATCTTTTTGAGTAAAATGTTTATGATGAATACATAAACCAAAAGAAAACTCAAAAAGCCAACTGAAAAACTAAGAATGACTTATTCATAAGACCTGGGACAAGGACGAATTAATGACAGAAATGATAAGTCTATGAGGCGCTATCTGGATGGCTACCTGTCGGTAAAAGGAGTAAGGCCCTTGTCCAAGGAACGGCCCAGGTGGGGGGGAGGGCTGCTCCCGGGGACCACCCAATCCAGGCCTGCACCGCTGTATACAGGCAGACAGTTAGCCATGCTCCACCACAATAATCTACACTGACAAAAACACACACTAACACATCGCTGACCACCAATAAGTCTTTGCTTAACAGAACGCCCAAAATGGCCTGTGCTGTTAAGTTGGACATCACGTCTTTCACAGCGTGAATAACAGGTTTTGCTTTTGGTCGGCATGCTACCTGGAAGTTTGTTGGTGCTCCTTGGCCTCCCTCCTCGGCCCATCCTGGCTTGCTGGAGGGGGGTTGCGGACCATTGTCAGCATTAGAGGGGGGAGTGCGGCGAGATTCTCCGCCACTGTCCGAGGCTCGAGAGCGAGAGGCTGCAGGGGGAGCATCCTGGGACCTCTGCTGCTCACTGAGGACAAGAAACATGTTTGTCAAATGAATTATAGTTGCATAATATAATCCCATTTTTATCAATAAAACATTATTGACATCATTTGAATTGATCTTATGCTGTCTGTACTTGGTCACATACCGTAATTCATTCTTACTCTCGGATCTCTCCTCTTCCCCCTCTTCTTCTCCTTCATCATCACTGAACTTCAACTTGGCAGAGTAATCAATCTCCTCATGAGCGCCTGTTAAAAGCAAAAACATAAGATTAAAAACACATGAAAACATTGAAATCATGTTTGTATCATGCGATCGTAGTGACCTATGATTGAATCAAATGGTCATAACCTCCTTTATTATATAGCGGCAGATGCAGTTTTCTACATTCCCCATGACTAAAGATTCATTTTTCCAGTGCATTTGTTGGAAAATTGTTTATCCTTCTTTGTGTGAAATTATCATTATCCAACCAGGACATTTTTACTTACAGGTTCCCAATAGCAAAACCTATTAACAGGTTGGTTATACATTTGTAAATAAGCTTTTTTTGTTTTACCGGCCCATCCGTCATCTCCGTCGTGGTCCAGCTCGTCGAGCTCCTTCAGGTCATCCTGCTTTAGGATAGAGGGTCGCTTCGGCCCCTCTCCACCTCCTTCACGTTGGCCGCCCTGAGGAACAGCCTGCCTGAACCTGAGAAAGGGAACAATTTCCTTTTAATCGAACAGTTGATTAACAAAAAGTGTCTCCCCAAAGGGTCAAATATAATGGATTATATTTTTTAAAGAAACTGTCATCAAGTGGCAAAATATTAGCACATACCTTGGCGGGGGCCCTTCCCCGGGTCCCGGGTACCTGTAGGGCCCCTGAGGGCCATAAGGACCCGGAAAGGGCAGGTAGGGAGGATACATCTAAAAACGAAAAAAAGAGATCAGGTGAAGATTCAAGAGAGTGTTCTTAGGCTATGCTATTGCATTCTATAGACTTTAATGTAAACACCAAGCACATAATAAAATGGACTGCAACACAGTTGTGTAGCGTGAAAAACAAGATATATTAACCAAAAACAAATACTAGAATATTTGCTAGAAATCAACCAGGAAAACAATAAGAAAACTTACGAATGGAGGCATGATCCCTCTGTATTGCGGGAACCCAGGTCCCACAGGGGGCTGGGGCAGTGGCAAGGCAGGGCTGCCTGCGGGAGGGTTCCTAGGTGGCCCGTGGGACTGAGAGTTTGGAAGGGGGACCCCAGCTGCCCCATCCATCACCAGAGCCCCACCAAGGCCACCCTCCACTGCCCCCTCCCCAGACAGGGTGGGCGCCATGGGTCGGCCCCCACCGTCCCGCCAACTTGTAACGTCTGAGGACGGAGAACACAGAGCGGTCAGTATCATTTATTTGTCCAAATGAAATAAGGTAAGAGATAGATAACACAACTTATTATTTTAAATAACACAAAAGTAATTGTATTTATTTTTGTCTCATTCCCTAATTAAATGTAGAGTTAGCAAGCGCATACCATCCAGGCATAAAGTAAACTTTAAAAAAACACTTGTTGTATTCTCTCTTGTAAGAGAAGTCTTCCAATCCCACCTGACTTAATTAAATGACGAGCCGTTGATTCATATTGGGAATTAAGCAGGCATCACTCACTCTGGGGGCGGAGGTTTGGTACGGGCCCATACCACTGATCTGCAGTGCCCGGTTCTTTGCCAACTTTGTCCTGGTCGCCAGCCGCCTGCAGGGTGGGAAATTCCTCGCGAGAGAATGGCGACTGTTGGTTTAATGCCTTTCCACCTGTAGAAAGTTGCTTGGTCAATGTATTTTTCTTAAAGGGGTTACAAAAAGCTTATTCCAACTTCCTTCTTATTAAAGTCAAAAAGTAAGACTCACCATCCCCTTGTGTTCCATGTGTACCACTGGCCTGTGCCCAAGACCTTGCCCCTGCGGCCTGGGTTGAAGCTGGCACCAGAGGCTGTGGGGGTACACACAAACAATGAGCCCCATATGATACATGTCAACTCTCCACAGACATTATCATGCAAGCCAAGGATTTTGCATTCACGTCACTGGGACAAGTCTGTACCTCTGAAGCTGGCGGGGTTCTCGGGCGGATCGGTGCAGGTGTCGGTGAAGCCACAGGCTGCTGCAATTCCGGCAGCGGTGCTGGCGATGCATCGGTACTGAGAGAAAGAAATAAAGTCACAAACCAAAGAATTAGACAGGATAGCCTGGGAAAAATTATAGCGTAAAACGTTTTTTTTCCACAACCAATTCTGGTAACTTGGATGTTGCAGGGGGAGTTGGGGGTTTAAATACCTCTTTGGGTCCGCTGCTTGTTCCTGTTTGCTTGCCCATCCTGAGCCGTCTTTGGGAACGAGCGAGACGTTTGGATCGTTGCCTTTGTTCTCTGCCTTCAGACTGGGCAGGTTGGCAGGTGGTGGCATACGCCGTGCGGAGGCAACTTTACCAAGAGACTGCAGGCCATGGCGGGGGGGAACTGATATGGGGAGGAGGAGGAGATCATTAGCACAGATGGACCACTGAAACCCGAGACCAATTCTATCTACTGGGTCTAAGGATCGGCTTGATGACAAGGATAGCTTTTGCTGGATACAATATTAGGATGGTGAAAAACCAATAAGGCTAGAAGCTTCTGATTCTGATGAATATGGATTACAAAAAGGCTTTCTAGATGTTATTAAAAACCTTCAGCAAACCCACTTCAATTACAGTTTGTGAAGAGGTATTAAGATATTGATGCTCACAGAAGCATGAAAAGCCATTAGATTCTGAAAAGTGTAGCTGTGCTGAATATCAATCCATCATTTGTCTCCTTCCTTCAGGCTCAGAGAAACCAAAGCAGTGCATGGCTTCACTATGTAGGAGGAGGAAGTCTGTAGTCAGACAGCTGCTTAGATCTAGTGGGGAGCTTCTGAATAAAACATCGACGGGGGACTCGGCACAGAAGTCAAACAGCGTCCACAAGTAAGCCTCTGTCTCAGGTCAGGCCCAGTGGCCCCCAGGCTCAGCTGACATGTGAGCCAGCCACCCTCCAGACCCTTCATACTTAAATTTGTATACCACTAAAGATAAGAAAAACATTCTTGAAGACAATGTTTTTTCTCTCGCTGAGATTAGTGTCGAGTCCTTAAAATACAAGGGTAGTAAATATCCCTGATCGCTGAATAAAACAGCATCAGCAAAACCAGGTTGGCAGGCAGTTGAGAGATGCATCAGAACTATTAGGGAGACAGTGGGATAATGCATCAAAGTTGCGGTTCTTGGTGTCGGAAGACAACAAACCCACTTTTAATCACAGCCAACGGGTGAATACAACTGTGGGCAGCAGATCTGTCTTTTAAGCCCAGATCTGATTCATTACAAAACAAGTCGCAAAACTTTAGTGACAAAATTAAATTAAAGTGGCAGAATGTAAAAAGAGCCTGTGAGGAAAGCGATATTGCAAACTATTACCCAGCGTAGAAAGACAGGTTGGCATCCATTACAGTAGACATGTGGTGTGAGTGTGACAATGAAAGCTTGAACAAGCCAAAGATACTCACCAACAGGCTTTTGTGTTTCAAGGCTCTTTCCTTTGTATGTATCAAACAGGTTGAGAGACGCATACTTGGTTTTGCCTTCCTTCCCCTTTGCAGTTTGCCCAGAGCGCTCTGACATTGCGCTGTCCGCTCATTGAGTATGGTGAGCCCTGAGACTGGGGAGGAGAGAGAGAGAGGCAAAGACATAGAGATTGGAATCCAGGTACTCATAGAAAGTGAAAGGAAAAAAGTGCTGATTATACAAGCATGCATTCAAAACAACCAGCAAAACAGAAAATGCATGACAAATCAAAACATCCAGAACATATGTGTTCTGATTTAAAGATTAAAATAAGGGATCTGATAGCTGGACGTGGTATTGTCAAGCAGTCAACTTGCAGTAAAACAGTGTAAAGCACAATCCTACAACTCTGTTTAAATATCTTTATCAAGGTGATTCAGTGTTTCCCCTAGGATGGAGTCATAGCAGCGGTGCTAAGGCACGTGGGCCTAGCAAAATGTGAGCGCATATTGGCGGGGCGCACTTGGCACGCAGAAATACAAACAAATTCCACTCGCTCCGCGCTCACATTTTGCTAGGCCCACGTGCCTTAGCACCGCTGCTATGACTCCATCCTAGGGGAAACACTGAATCACCTTGATAAAGATATTTAAACAGAGTNAAAGAAAGAATGCTAACTAGGTAATGATGATGATAAGAATAAACAAGTTTAAATGATTTGTTATTGGTTGTGATCATATTCTAAAGATGTTTGGATTATTGAAAAGTATACAAATCCCTTTCATATGAGTGTTGAGAGCTGTATCCGTAAATTCATTTTGTGCTCAAAGTAAACCAGATAAATGCATTTAACTTCCACATTGGAAAAAAAAAAAAAAATCGTCCTGGGGATGCATGCCCCGGACCCCCCTAGGAGGATGTGAGGTCACCTCACATCCTCCTAGGGGGGTCCGGGGCATGCATCCCCAGGACGATTTTTTTTTTTTTTTCCAATGTGGAAGTTAAATGCATTTATCTGGTTTACTTNCCAGCAAGTAGTGCACACAGCTTCGATTAATAAATAAATAAATGAACAAAATAGAATTATGATAAAATATATATGATAAATATTACAGTGTATACGACAGATCATGATTAATGATGATGATAAGAATAAACAAGTTTAAATGATTTGTTATTGGTTGTGATCATATTCTAAAGATGTTTGGATTATTGAAAAGTATACAAATCCCTTTCATATGAGTGTTGAGAGCTGTATCCGTAAATTCATTTTGTGCTCAAAGTAAACCANGACCTTTTAATGTCTGTTTTCAAAGCACTCGCTGGAGCAGTGACTATAAATCTCGTTGTATTCTGTACAATGACAATAAAAGCTTTTGAATTTGAATCTTATGTTACCTAGTTAGTAGGGCTGCTAAATTAATCGTATTTTAATCGCAATTACGATTATGGCTTGCAACGATTACGAAAACCA